CGCATTGATGTGTGTGCATGCAGTCTTTTACACACACACACTCACACGCACATACACAGCTTGCGGTTGCTTGTGGTTGAGCGAGATGCCAGAGAGACTGTCTCCAAGCTGCAGGGCTCCCGCTGACACACTGACCTCACACTTAATGGAGTCGGTACCAGAAGTAAAAGCACAGTTTCACACTGAAACAAGAAGCTGGTGTGTTTCCGATTATTCCACTCAAGTGAGCAAAAAAACGAAAGGTTCAGTTTGAAGAGGTGAATAATAATAGCTTTGTGTGGACGGATGAAAAGATGAGCTTTCATAAATGGCCCGAAGAGTGTGAAATATTCTCTGATTCATACGTCTGCGGTGAGCCCAAGATTAGCATCGTATTTCGAGCATTTACTACATTTCCGCTATTGCTGCCATAGTCTAGAAGAAAGGGAAAAACACTCTTTATCTGCTCCAAATCCAACATTTTAAGTTAGGTTTCAGACGCCATGTTTTCCTGTACTCAAGCAGAGAAAGTGGCATTAAAGGACACCGTCGATTTAAGCATCTGTACATGCTCATGCACGAGCACAGGTATGTAAAATCCCAGCTCCTGCAGCCATGTCTGATGTGTCCTTAGGCAAAACGGCTAACCCGTAGTTGCTAAAGCTGCTTCAGTGGCGGTGTGCGAATGTGTAAATGGGATTAGTTCATGCTGATGGACACTTTACTTGACAGCCTCTACCATCAGTGTGTGAATGTGTAGGTGTGACCTGCGGTGTAAAAGCCCTCTGAGTAGTCAGAAGACTAGAAAAGCGCTACACAAGCTCAAGTAGCATTTACCATTTTACCATCAATTCATGCTAACCAAAAAAAGTAACACAACCCAACATTTTTTGCCAGATTCCTTCCTCACATTTTGACTTATCCACTCCCATCTTTCAGTTAAACAAAGAAACCTCTCTCTAGATTTGAACATTGCTGGAAACATGAAGAACAGAGTCATATTTACTGCTCTTTGTCAGCTCAAATAACAGACGACACATGACCCTAACAAACTGGTTAGTAGTGAATACTTGATAAAAAACGTGACAAATGCAGATGGAAGTAGAATCCAGACTGCGTTATCAGAACAGAGCAATCACAAAGACTGAATGCTAACATACATTTAGTCTTTTTTTCATACACTCTAATGCAGATTGTTACATATGATGCTTTGACTTGATACATAGTCAAACATTTCAGGCCTTGTCACACTGAATTCAGGGTTTTGTACTCTCTGATGATGTGTTTACAAGGATTATACTCCTTAACAAGGATTATAGTCCTTGTAAACCCAAGCATTATGCTCCTTGAAAACACAGAAATCTGTCAACATTAAATGACAGCCAACCATTCATTTTCTAAACCACTCGTTCTGCTCAGTCTTTCAGGTCTCTGACATCTATCCCAGCATGCACTGGGCAGCATTAGCTCTTGACAGGTCACCTCTAACAGTTATAACTTAACTGTATAACCCCACCTCAGGGCAAACATATTATTCAGTCTCACTTGGCTAATACGTATAACACTGCCTGTCTTATGTGGGATTACTGGTATTATGTAGAAATATGACGCATTATCCCGAAGTGTTAAAACTTTGTGTTACAGCTCTCCACAGAATGAGGCTACAATATTGCAGACATTTCTTTTTCTTTGTTGCATGCTGCTGTGAAAGCCTTAAATGCTGTTTTTTTTTGTTTGTTTTTTTTGGGCTTTTAAGTGGAACCACGCTGTTAATGTGCACTGATCTCCAAAAACCCACTTCCTGTGGGGAGCATATGCTTTAAAAGCCAAAGCCCTAATCAACAGATCAACATGTATTTGAAGACCTGGTGGGGATTAGGTTGCTCTCCATCTCTCTTTTTTTTTTTAAAAAGAGCCTTAAGAGCACACAGGGGTCCCTCTGAGGGTTTTTTATTCAGTAATAACCCTTAGTGTAGAGACAGCAGCTGTTCTCGTCTGACAGCTCACTGTTTGTGCTGTCCTGAGATTAAGGTGGCCATGAGCTTGGGGACTTTTAAAGAAAGTTTTTTTTATCCTTCAAAATACCGCATTTTGGAAACGAAGTATCCAACTGTGGGCTTCGATTAATGTGAACATGTGCTTGAGGCTTAGTCATTTCAAGCTGGGAGACTGTCTCATTTTCTGCTCTCAGATGAGTCACCCATGTGGATTTAAAAAATCAACAAAGTGGCTTAACAAGGGAATTCAATTTATGAATGATGCTTTAATTTGAATTAATAAAGAGGACTGAGATATTATGAGTATAAAAAGAGAGGTTTATTGTATCAGCAACTTTACTTCATCTTTTATCTGACAATTATTTAATTTTACCCCCTCAACTTTAACACAAACATCCACTTTTTATTTCTCACATTTTCCAAAAAGAGTTGTTTGTTAGCTTAAGTGCATTTGAATTATTCGGCGTTTGAATCATTGCAGAAGACCTTACCAACATAAATCCATCACTCAAGTTATTTCTCTTATATGGCACAACGTGGTTACAAGATATATCTTATTATAATTAACATGTAGAGCAGATCTGTGCCTAGTCTTAGTTTTATTATTTGAGAGACTAAACCTGAATCTACCATTAGGAAGCACTTGGCAACAGTGGCTTCCTTGAACAGACAGAAATCTCAGAACCACATCAAAACCGATTACCTGTAACACATAAAGATGAATTATTAATGTGTTCTTTTTATAACAACGGACATAAAGAATACAACATGAAAGGCGTATCAAGAGGAAACTGATAAAAGGGGAAATATCAAAACAAAATGAAGAGTTATCTAGAAAACGTGATGTCTGTGATTGACAGGGACAAGTTATATCACCATGGATACAAGTGAATCAGCTGACATTGATGAATAAACGTCAGAGCAGATCCAGAGATTCCTGGAAGTCCTCCAAGTAGTTATTTTCCTTAATATTGTTGTCAAATCAATTTAGTTCAAATAGTTCAGTTTAGTTTCCCTAATATGATTTAGTGTTATCAGTTCATTTTTATTTTAGTTTTACAGAGAAAAAGAAAGTAAACAGCAGATGCTGAAACTGATCTTTAATATACTCTGAGTCCACTTTAACTTGAGTAAAGAGGTGATTCAGGTATTCTACTTTTTACCCTTTTTGGACAATAGTTTATTCTCAGGTAAAGAATTAAGCGCCTTTGCCACCTTTAAAGGACATCTATCAGAGGAATACATTTTACGTGACAAAATGGTAAACAGATTTTGACGTTTTGAACCCATAACACCCAGAATAATTCAGATGCTAAATCATCCCGCTGCAGTGAAATAGCCCTCAGGACACCATTAGCAGCAGCGCTTTGTATATTTCCAAAGAGGATGTGTGAGTGTGAATTACTGCTGCCCCACTTCCCCTCTTCTCCCCAGCCCTGCCTGCGACCACCTTTAGGGAAGGCGCTGCATCTTTCCTCCCAGGGTGACACAGATGGTCTGTGCATTATACAACATGAGAAAACTGCATTAAACATGAAGACATGCACGACTGCGTCTACTGACCGCGTATCATCGAGGTTTACTGGAGACGCTTTTATTCCAGATGCTTGAACGGAAGGTGTGGAGGATGCTCGGTGGTTAAGGATCTCTTTCAGATTACAAACAGCACCTGCAAATTGCCAGTGTACAAGATTTAAATTAAGGGTGAAAATAATTTGATAGGTCAGGCATTAATCCCTTTTCTGTTGCAATTGTTCAGCATCAACATCTTTAAAAGTCACATTTGAATGTTACAGGACCTGCAAGTGGTTAAACACATCCATCCTCTAATAATCTTCTTGAATTTAATTTAAGAAAATATGATTTAACCAACGGGATGTTTGGTCACTTTTAGCATCATCTTTCCTCAGATTTATTATAAATTTAATTATCTGAATAATATCTATCATTAAACAGAGCACTCATTGTATAATATTTTGCTTTATAGAGGTACTATAAGAAGTAATTGATCTTGACCTAAAGCCAATTAAACTGCTTGTAACAAAATGTAGGAAATCAAACTATAAAACTGCATCTGGTCCTTTTAAATTGGAGCTCAATATATTAGATATAAAGATGGAAATTTGGAGATTTCATGATCTTAAAGTTTATGTTGTGCATCAACGAGCAACATTTCTTCACATGAAACTGAAATATCAGGTGGAATACATAAATACAAAAATGAAAGGAGAGGCATCATTTCATTGCTTCTTCATTTTCTTAATATGCATCTTTTATGGCTGCTCTGCAGGTGCTAGCACAAGTGACCACTAGTTGGTAGCCTTGTCCTTTTTATTGTAGTCAGGACAGCGAGACATCACTTCTGCCCTATCTGTAAAAAGCCATACTTTTTGATTCCCATTAAATAGATTGGATTAGAGTTGACTTTCTAGGGTGTAAATGGCCATCTGTCTCATTTGTTTTTTCATCAATCATCTGTAGACATTGTAGGCATTTTGCACAAACAGGTAATTTTTCTCCCTTAGTGTCTAGTTAGTGCTAAAAAAAAAAAAAAAGTTTCAAAGTTTGCCATGGGATACTAAAAGCAGCATGTTTTAATTAATACACTAAATTTAAAAGTCTCAACTATGGAGGGAAGTTGAAAATGAGCATGCTTTTTTCATTGACACCATGTTAAATTGCAACCCCCTTATCAAATAAAAAACATTCCTCATGTTTACATTGTATTCATAACACAGTCAGTGTTTGCAGAGAATACCTCAAGGCTGCGCCACACCTTAGTTTGCATGTGTCAGACAGGTTGTTCCCATGCGTGTGTGTAGTGTATTTATTAGCGTGTGCAAGGAGGGGGGGAGTTGGAGGGGAAAGAGGGGGCAGGTACCAGACTTTTTTGGCCCCTCCTCCAATGGAGCCACGGTGCGCCTGTGTTCCAATGGAAACAGGTGGGATCCCCAGACTCCTCCAATCACACCTCTCCCTCCATGGGGGGGGGAGGAGGGGGGGGGGGGGGAGACTCCGGGGGCAGGAGGCTGGACCAGACCGACCAACTTCCACACCCACCACAGGAAAAGTCGGGAAAATACATCTGTCCGCGCGCATGACGCTGTTCCGTGTATCCTGTGTGTGTTTGTCAAACTGTTACGGTGAATATCAGGAGGGCGGTAATCCACCGGAGCGCTTGCGGAGTACTTGCCGCCACTTGGCCGCTGTTGAGGACGGTGTATCTGGGTTTGCAAAAGCTGGGACGTTTCGCAGCGATGGAGAGAACGCACTAACCGGATTTTGAAATTGTGTTTTTTTTTTTTCCTGGATTATCCATTTTTTCTTTCTTTTTATTTTTTTTAAACCGACCCGGGTTGCTTTCGGTTTATATTTTTCATTGTAGTGTGGAGTAAGGACATACTTTGAAAATGCCTGCGAAAACCAAGTACAACCTCGTTGATGATGGGCATGATTTGAGGATCCCGTTGCACAACGAGGAAGCGTTCCAGCATGGGATCAACTTCGAGGCAAAGGTAAACCACAAGCAACTCGAAAGTGTCGATACCAAATACGAGAGTGTGGTGTGTTTCCAAGTGTTGTCTTCTGTGGGAAACCTGTCTAAAACAACCACACGTTTCACTCTGTACCAAAGGGTATCTAAAGGTGTTCATCATGGATTAATTATCTGACCAAACGTTAATTAAGCCGACTTTTTGGGCACTTTACGCACTGACTACTTAGTTACGCACTAAGCTTGTTATTGACTCCTAAACAGTTTTGGTAAATGAAATAAAGTGAAAACAAACTATTGCTTAATTGATGTATCATACCTGTCAACAGTATATCGGCAGCCTGGACGTGACGCGGCCGAGCAGCCGAGTGGAGATTGTGGCTGCGATGAGAAGAATACGGGTAAGTGGAGCCGCTTGGCAAAACTCCCTTTCTAATTTAGCGTTTTTTTTCCTTTTTCTTACTTATGGTCACTGAGCATGATTTGTGGAGGACGACATGATGTGTTTTAGCACACCTGTGGTCTGCTGCTTCATTCGGCATATGTTCTACTGACTTAAACAGTAACTTTAGACACTTAAAATATCAACTTTTCAACATGATTTTACAGGATATATGATGGGAGGCTGTGGGCGGGGAGAAAGTTTTATACAGTGAGTTTGGTTTGCATTTTCAGTGCCGAATTGAAGAGAATACCTTGATTGTTTAATTTAAATCTTACTTTTTGTTTACATTGCAAGATTCCCCTTCTTAATTATGAGATAGGCGTATCTGTATGATAATATTTATCTGCATGATAGTTGGACCTGGGTGACATTTCCAACTGAAGCTCCAGAAAACATGGCTCAGCAAATCATCGAAATGAGGCAATAACTAGTGTGAAACCGATGATTTGACACACCAACTACCGTGTTATCGTTTACATACACTGTACGGTGTCAGTGCTAGATGTAAGATCACGTTGACAGCAGACTTTGTAGTGCCTGGGACTTGTCTTGCCTGGCTGGAGGTTTGGGTCTCCCATGTGCTCCATCACTGCTCTGAAGTTTCCTTTGAAGCAGTGCACTGGGTGTGAGCCCCCTCCTCCCCTTCCCTCTCTTTTTTTCTGCTGCGTAAACTTAAGATTTACAGCTTTTTCAGCCACAGAAAGTCGACTTAATCTTAATCAGTGTGTCTGCCGGCTTGGCAGCAGTTGGCTTAACAACCTAATACAACTTTGTGCCAGTGGTGAAGAGGTATTTGAGGATTATAGTGATGAACTGGTAGGTGTGCTTGGATTTATAGATGATTCCTATAAAACACACACACACACACACACACACACACACAAACACAAACACACACACAAAGAGAGAGAGAGCTACAGGAAACAAAAGGCATCCAAATTGTTTTGTATTGTATTACCTAATTATTTTAAAGAAGGTTGAGAGCGACAGACCAGCAATTCACTTTTCCTGACATTTTAACTCACCACAACTTTCTATGAATCAACTGGAGGCAAGGCCAGTCTGTGCCAGTCTTTATCTGCATGCACTCACACTCTCTCTCACACACACACACACACACACACACACACACAGCCGAGCATAAGGTGCAAAATGTTCTTCTTGCTCTTTTCAGAGGAGTGACCCGGTCCTATAAAGTGGACCTCCCAGTGTGCTGCCATGGCAGCTGTTGTTGTTGGCAGGAAAACAGACTTTGGTTTGGCTCCTTGCAGTGTGAAAATGGTTTGACACCGGTTTAACAACACAATAGAGGGAAACCACAGGTATCCAACATGGAGGAGAGGTCACACTGGAAGGCATGAGCCTGCCAGGCCAACCCAACGGGAACTAAAAGGTTCCCTTGTTTTGGCATTTGCACTTTAGTTTGCGTATTTGAATTGGAGAAGTAGTCATTTTGAATTGTTGGATATCGGATTAAATATCGTGTGTATTATCATGTTACATTGAAGAGTGAGGACAACCAAATACTGTACTCATGAGCCGTTTTCACACATGCACTACATATGCAATATCAAGTTAATTTCAGGAGGACTGATTGTATTCATCTTCGCAGCAGTCACAGTATTTAAACATCACTCCCCTCAAAACATACTCGGGGTCTGGCAGGAGAAACTCCGGGTGACTATCACACATTCAGCTCCTCCTTCAAATATCAGAAGTTTTTCAGGAGTTTTCTGAAAGTGTTAAAGCCCTATTGCTGTCAAAATGATTAAAGCAATTCATTTTATTTTATCTATAAATCCAGGTTTAACAATCCAATTTGTTCCAGTTTGACAAAAACAAACAAACTTTCCACTTTATCCAAGAAAGTGATTATTATACTTATTTAGCTCCTCTGTTATTTCTACCATTGTCTTTTCAAATCATACAGGACACGCAGGCTCTGCATGCACTGAGGTCAGTCCTGTGTCTTCAAGTGAGGGGCTGCACTGTTATGACATCACAGAGACTTTTGTTGCATATTGGGTGACGAGAAAAAACTGATGAGTTTTGGGTTTGCGTCAAGCGACAAAAAAAATGCCAGCATGATATGTTGCATGTCATAAGATAGAGAGTGCATGCCCGATGCAATATTGAACATTAAGATTGTATTCTCATAGTGTGCGGGCCTGTGAAGCTGCTCCAGAAAGATTTGTTGCCAAATCATATTTAAGACAGAAATCGGTGGCTTCTGCTCTGTCAAATGAGCAGGAAAAAGAAAACATGAAAACAATGTCACTGCTGACAGATTATGCAGAGGAAAACATGACAGTTTTGACAACTTAATTCCTAAACTTCTTCACTTTAAAACAAGTCAACCCTGACACCGCCTGAGGCTACAACAAACACCCTCTTTCCTCAACTCTAAAATAAGTACTTCAGGTACAATGAAACAACGACGCACTCATGCTTGTTTGTGCTTTTGTCTAACTTTTGTCTCCTCGCAGAGTTTCTGAGAGAAAGTTTTGTAAAACGATGCTCCCTGCAGCGCCTGCTCTCTCTCTCTCTCTTTCTCTCTCTCCCTCTAAGATTCCTATCTGCCTCTCTTTCTGCACAGTCAGTCAGAACTATGCAGGTTGCCAGGCACCCAGTTGATGTATGGTGTCATTGTTCGCTGTGTGCATGAGTCACCTGTAGGCCACGAGCTGATAACAAAGTAATGACACAGCAACGTAGGGAAGTATGTCACCTAGAGTGCAGCGACATGTGCAGCACTGCAGGAGTTGTTTATACACTAATTTGTTGTCACATTATGCACGAACACACACATATTCTGATACACACAGACAAACACACAGCTTGTGTGCTGTACATGTTTTTATAGAATGATAGAGAGGAAAAACAATTCAGTCTTCACTTTGGTGAAACTCCCCCGCTGGTTGAAAAGTGTATTGATTCAAAAGTGTTGTTTACATCGGGTATAGTTCTTGCTTCTGTGTAGGATTGCAACTTATACACACTGCAACTCATATTGATTTAAAACCTCAAAGTTTTTTAACATTACATCATCAGGCTATTGAACGCATGCACCGCCATGCTCAACGCTTCTGAAGTGACATCTCGTCTTCTGACACCGACTGGCCCTGATCCACGTTTAGTTTGATTAAAATGATTCTTTGTCCAGTTCCAAGAGATAACCGTTTCCCTCTTTGAGTGTTCTCCATCTTTGTAAATATGCAGCTATATAATGTTAAACCCTCTGACATGTATGGAATGAGCCTCACAAAGAGGGAACAGCTACTTTGCAGCCATCTAATCCCACGTTTTTTCTCACTCTCAGATGAACATGCTCTTAAATGAAAAGGTCCTCTTCATTTACATGTTTTATAATAACCATCATCTGGCCTTCGTCTGATAGGGGCTTATCTGGTTAAAAGAAGAGGAGACCTTTAGAGCGAATTAAAAGGATTAATTTCTCATTAATCTGTCTGTGCTGGGTTAACTGACCGTAGGAAGATTGAGACGCAGCATGGCACGAGGAGATTAGACGTGTCTGAGGATTCGTCTGAGGGGAACGAGAGGGCACGGGCGGACGTGCTGGAGAGAGGAGAGTAAAGACATTAAATCATTTGTTCTTCTCCTCAGCTTCCTGGTTGAACTTGTGCGGACCGGCATCTTTTCAGCTTTAAGTAACTGGTGGTAACCCCCCCCCCCCATCGAACAATGTTCATTAACCTGGGTTTCAATGTAGCCCGTACTTTAGTGCCTTGTTATCCTCTTAATGTTGGAGCTGTTTGGTCAACAGTCAAGCGGCAGTATTTTTGCATCTTTGAAGCCGAGCCGGGGCGAGGGCAAAACAGCCCCTTATGATGTGTGCTTAAACACATATGAACCAAGTAGTTAATGTTCGAAAGTTTAATATAGAGAGAAGTTGAACTGTATCGATCACTTTAATGACGTTGCAACCAGTGTGACTGCTTTGGCTATTTTCTGATTTAAAAAAAAAAAATCACTTTTTTTTAATTGATTTCTTCAAGGAAACGTCCACATACATGTTGTACTGATATGACCTATACTGTCAGATCAATTGCAATCTCCTTCTAATTAGTGCAGCTGGAGTTAACCTGTCTCGACATGATTGACATTAACAAGGCTCAGAAGCTCAACCCCTGTCCAATTAATCCACCCTGATTAACACGTGCAGAGATGGCTGAAATGGGGAAAAAAAAGGAAGGCCTGCTCACTCCTATCGTGGGTTGAATGCACCGTTTCTTTCTTTACTTTATCATGAATGCATTATCTCCCACACACTGCTCTGTCATACTCTGCAGCCTTCGATCCACAGCAAAGGCACGAGTTAGAACTCTTGGTGTTGTGGTTTTAAATAATGAAACCGGTTTTCATGATTTCATCCTATATGAAAAAATGAATGACATGCAGACATTTAAAACCAATTTCCTCTTAAACTCTCTGCAGAGTGGCTCCGTTTATTTTAAACGGTAGAAAAACTCTTTGAAGCTCCAGATTTGACTGGGAAATGTATCCGAAAGCCACAATTCATGAGGCCAAACGTTATATGGGAACTCAGCCAGTCGCAGTTTATTAACAGCTTAGCAAACTTGGCTGCCATTCTCCGTACATGCCTGTTTTTTTTTTTCGTTTTTTTTTTCTTTTTCCCCCTCGCTCACCGCAGCGACAGCAGAGCGACGGCGCTGTGTGTTCAACACATCAGAGGAACAGACGAGGCTGAATCTCTCTCTGAGGAATAACACTGTCATGTCATGTCAGGTCAGAGGGAAACACACTCATGTGGCTCTCAGTCTGCTGCTGTCTGCACCTGTCATCTGCCTCACACACACACACACACACACACACACACACACACCTCTGGATTTATCTAATCACATTATACACCTGGAGATCGAGTGGCTGCAGGAAAAGGAGTGAAGAGCTTGAGAAACTTTTACATTGCACTTA